TCTCAGATCTGGGCCTGGCTGTTCACGTTCCTGAGGGTCAGACCATTAAGGGCCGCGTGGGAACAGTGGGGTACATGGGTGAGTGAGGTTTGACAGCCATCAACAGGGGGCGCTGAAGCCACACTTAACACAGCAATACAGTCAGGCGGTCTTAGTCCTGATGTTGGAGCTTCTTTATTAACTCTGTGGGCTGTGGCCTACAGTTTGGAGTGTGGGCTGAGGCCTACAGATTAGAGTGTGGGCTGTGGCCTGCAGATTAGAGTTTGGGCTGTGGCCTATAGATTAGAGTGTGGGCTGTGTCCTACAGATTAGAGTGTGGGCTGTGGCCGACAGATTCGGGTGTGGGCTGTGGCCTATAGATTAGAGTGTGGTCTGTGGCCTATAGATTAGAGTGTGGGCTGTGTCCTACAGATTAGAGTGTGGGCTGTGGCCTGCAGATTAGAGTTTGGGCTGTGGCCTATAGAATAGAGTGTGGGCTGTGGCCGACAGATTCGGGTGTGGGCTGTGGCCTATAGAATAGAGTGTGGGCTGTGGCCGACAGATTCGGGTGTGGGCTGTGGCCTATAGAATAGAGTGTGGGCTGTGGCCGACAGATTCGGGTGTGGGCTGTGGCCTATAGAATAGAGTGTGGGCTGTGGCCGACAGATTCGGGTGTGGGCTGTGGCCTATAGTTTAGAGTGTGGGCTGTGGCCTGCAGATTAGAGTTTGGGCTGTGGCCTATAGAATAGAGTGTGGGCTGTGGCCTGCAGATTAGAGTTTGGGCTGTGGCCTATAGAATAGAGTGTGGGCTGTGGCCTGCAGATTAGAGTTTGGGCTGTGGCCTATAGATTAGAGTGTGGGCTGTGTCCTACAGATTAGAGTGTGGGCTGTGGCCTACAGATTAGGTCCAAAGGTGAAGATTTCTTTTTTTTTTTTTTTTGCGGCTCCAGCTCCTGAGGTGGTGAAGAACGAGCGCTACGTCTTCAGCCCAGACTGGTGGGCTCTGGGCTGCCTCCTGTACGAGATGATCGAGGGTCAGTCTCCGTTCCAGCAGAGGAAAAAGAAGATCAAGAGGGAGGAGGTGGAGCGGCTGGTGAAGGAGGTGGAGGAGGAATATTCCAGCAAGTTCTCGGAGGAGGCCTCCTCCCTCTGCAGGATGGTGGGTGGAGTCGTGGATGGATGGATTGTTGTTTCCTGGACTCACCACTAGAGGGCGCTAATCTCCGTTTACGTTTGTTATTTGACAGTTGCTGGCCAAAGACCCGGCAGACAGACTGGGCTGTCAGGGGGGCGGAGCTTCAGAGGTCAAAGCTCATCCCATTTTTCACAACATCAACTTCAAACGCCTGCAGGCGGGAAAGTTGGACGTTCCCTTCATCCCTGATGTGAGAGGACGTTCCCTTCGGATGCTTTGATTTTCCCACTGTTCCTGTCTGTTCAGTGTTGTCTTCTGGTCTCCTGCAGCCTCAGGCCATCTACTGCAAGGACGTCCTGGACATCGAGCAGTTCTCCACTGTCAAAGGTGTCGAACTGGAACCCAAGGACCAATCGTTTTACGGCAAAGTGTCGACCGGCAGCGTCTCCATCCCCTGGCAGAACGAGGTGGGAAACCAGGAGGAGCTGAAGATGGAGAAGGTTGAGATGTTTGATAGAGAGACTGAAATAAGGATTTCATCACATCACTCCCCCCCCCCCCCCCCCCCCCCCCTCCTTCTCCTCCTTCTCCTCCTCCAGATGATTGAGACCTCCTGTTTCGATGAGCTGAACGTCTTCCATCAGGATGGAGGCGTTCCTCCAGACCTGGACTGGAGGGGACAACCGTCTCCTCCCCCCAAACAGGGTCTGCTGCAGAGACTGTTTGGACGTCAGGTCAGAAAATGCAGCTAACGCTAACAGTTAGCCTCAGCTTTAGCTTCAGTCGTCAGAGTCCAGACTTTCTGACCTTCATCAAACAGACGTGACAGAGTGACTGTGTGTCTGTGCTCCCCCTGCAGGACTGCTGTGGGAACTGCAGTGACAGTGATGAGGAGCCTACCAGGCTGTGACGTGCACGCCTCACGTGCACACATCCATGATGTGACCTGTTTACAACTTTTGCACATTTTTCTCTGCAAACGTCGTTTTTCACCTTTATTTATAAACAAACTTCGGTCGCAGTCGTCTTCGTTTGTCCCCGACGGACGAGACCAGGGACAGAGTTCCTAAAACGTCCCTGTCCATCCAGCCCAGATGGACCATGGACTTCTTCCTATAGTGGGCACAGAAATGTCTTCATGTCCTCGGGGCGGAGACGACAACGTTGGTTTGGTGGTGAAGCAGCAGCCCGCGACCCAGGAGACCTCAGAGCAGCAGCTGTTTGTTGTTGTGAACTCTGGTTGGACAGCTGATGATGATGTCACTGCTGTTTGTCCCCGTCTGCTGAGGGACACGGTTTGTTTTTGTGTAAAATCTCTGTGAATCTTTGTCTGGTTCTCATCGGTTCCTCTCTCAGGGTTCGTCTGTCGGTCGTCTGTCGGTCGTCTGTCGGTCTTCACTCTGCGACCGTCACCGACCGACACAGAGAGGAACTGAAGGCGTCTGGTCGCAGGTACGACGGCGTCCGGACCTCGGCTGGTTCTGTGGCAGCAGAACTTCCTCAGGAACCTGGGTTTTAAGCTAATGACGGTGAAATAAACCAAATACCTCTGAAAGTCCCAGCAGTGTCCACTGGTCTTTTTGTCCTTCGTCTCCAACGTCCAACAGTGATTGGCTCCAGCACAACATGCTCTTTAACCAGAACTTTCCTTCGGTCCCAGTACCTTCAGCCCAGTTTGTCTGGGTTCAAAATAAGTTCTACCTGACTAGGGACCAGGGACAGTGGATAACTGGCTCCACCTATGGAGTCAAAATGGCATTACAGCAACAAGCACAAGAATTGAGAGGGCTAAGATTGAAGAGGATTCTGAGATTCGTCCAGACCGGGTCACTTTGACACAGATGTAAACCAGGTCTTCAATAAAGTGATATGTGTGTTGTTGGCCACCAGGGGGCAGTCCACACTCCACATCAGGGACAGACGGGGAAACCTCTGGAGAAGATTGGTTTAACACGTGTGAAGTACAGCGAACCACCACCAGGACGTAAAAAGAATTTTGCTGGAAAAACTCCTCAACTGACGACCAACATGTTGGAGACGATGTGGGGACGAAAGACCACACTGATTTTCTCCATGAGGTTTGGTCTGAACTAAAATCTCTGATTTTCTCCATGGACTTTGGTCTGAACTAAAATCACTGATTTTCTCCATGGACTTTGGTCTGAACTAAAATCTCTGATTTTCTCCATGGACTTTGGTCTGAACTAAAATCTCTGATTTTCTCCATGGACTTTGGTCTGAACTAAAATCTCTGATTTTCTCCATGGACTTTGGTCTGAACTAAAATCTCTGATTTTCTCCATGGACTTTGGTCTGAACTAAAATCTCTGATTTTCTCCATGGACTTTGGTCTGAACTAAAATCTCTGATTTTCTCCATGGACTTTGGTCTGAACTAAAATCTCTGATTTTCTCCATGGACTTTGGTCTGAACTAAAATCTCTGATTTTCTCCATGGACTTTGGTCTGAACTAAAATCTCTGATTTTCTCCATGGACTTTGGTCTGAACTAAAATCTCTTGATTTTCTCCAAATCTCTGATTTTCTCCATGGACTTTGGTCTGAACTAAAATCTCTGATTTTCTCCATGGACTTTGGTCTGAACTAAAATCTCTGATTTTCTCCATGGACTTTGGTCTGAACTAAAATCTCTGATTTTCTCCATGGACTTTGGTCTGAACTAAAATCTCTGATTTTCTCCATGAGGTTTGGTGCAGCAGAGTGCGTTGCTGATAAGCCTCATGTTTTTGATTCTCAGCAGCTGGTTAATTTCTACTCTAAATAAAAGTTGAAGAAGAAGAAAGAAAGCCCAAAGCCCAGGTTTAGATTTAGAAGCCATTTAATCTTGAATTCAGTCATAAAATCATACAAAAGGAGTGAAAAAGTTGAAAAGGAGCCACAGTCCAACTGGATTCAGGTTCAAGTGGAATAAATAAAAGTTCCCCGGCTGATGTGACGTAAATACAAGATTAAGTGACTGTGCACGGGTGAGTGTGAAGACAGAGTTATTACTGTGTTATTACTGCTGTTATTATCATAGGAGAACTACAGACCAGACTAATCGAAGCAGCGCTAAGTTAATGTGGACAAAGGAAGTGGAGTGCAGAGCAGAAAGAAGGAAGAATAAATAAATGAAGACAGACGTTTCTTTTCTGTGGCTACTCTACCAACTGCTCTTCACGTTATTATCACTTTTTACATTTTTTTCTTTAGAAAAAAATTAGTTTTCTCATGAAGCGCACTTCCTACTTCCTCTTGATCTTGAAGGGTAGCTTGTGATTGGCCGGTCAGTCGTCTTCATCGTCGACCACCGGATCTGTGTCCCAGCAGGTGATGTCGATCTCTGGAAGACACAGGTCCATCTTCAACTCCAACTCCAACGTCCAACATTCAGGTTTTTCTCGTAAACAGATGAAAAAGAAAACTCACCTGGAGGTTTGTTATAAAGAACTGGAGCTGGTTTGGTGGACGAGTCCTCTGATTGGCCAAATTCTTCCTCCTGTGATTGGCTAAAGTATCCTTCACTTGCCTGCAAAAAAGACAGAGTGCAGAGGTCATCCAGAGGTCGCGGAGAGGTCGCGGAGAGGTCACGAGGGTGCTGATGTCACTGACCTGCAGACCTTCCTTCAGAAAAGTCTCTCCATTGGTCATCAACTGATCTCCATCCTCAAGCTCCGCCCCCTCTCCCGCTGCATGCTGCAGTGCATGCTGGTAGCTGAGGGTCATGTGATCTGAACCCGTCACGTCCACCAGACTGGACGGCTCGTCCTCCGCACCCCCGCTGGAGCAGAACGATCCATCCACGGTGTCGTCGAAGCTAAGCAGCGGCTGAGGTCGACCACCGGGGGCGGTAGCCGAGGCAGCATTGAGGGCGGAGCTACGCAGGACGTCATTGGCATCACCAATCAGGGAGTTGGTGGGTGGAGCCGAGCTGCTGTCCCACAGGTCCACCGGCTTGTCTGTCCCAGAATCCCACGCCGAGTCCCGACCCCGGGGGGCGACACTGTGCACCGGTTTGGAGGGTGTGGCCTCCTGGGCCGCAGCCTCGTGCTCCGGTTTAGGACTTAGATCTGCAGAGCAGAGAAATCCTGCCTTTATGTTCCGACTGGTGCCGTTTGTACCAAGGTACAAGGTTCCATGCCACCTAGCATAACAACTACGGCTGCGGCGCCCCCTGGTTAAGGGTGAGGCCAAGGATATTTTCCGTTAGCATTAGCAGTGAGTCAGTAGTTAGCGATGCTTACCAAAGGCGACCTGTCCGTCATCCTCTTGGCCCAAATCGTTTTTGATGGACGCGGTGACGTGAATTGTGGGAACGACGGACCCAGCAGCGCCACAGCGGTCATCACAGCGGTCATCATCAACATCCACAACATCGCCACCTGGAGGGGCACAATGACCAGACATCAGCTCTGACGGCAGAGGCGCATCATCAGCTGGGAGGAAGTCACGTGATCAACGCCGATGACATCACTGACACACACACACATCATGAATGCTACCTGTGAAACCAAGTCACATGACCACAAACACACAAACTGCTCACTGGACGTCGACCAATCACATCAGCTCGATGAGTTCGCTCTTCATCACTGAGTCCATGAAAAAAGAATCAGTTTGACAGAGAGTCGTGGTCGGACTGACCTCAGTGACACACAAACTGACCACCGGAGGCAGTAGTGGCCCAGCAGCTACAGCTGTTAGCACCGGAGGTTCTGGTCCATCCGAGACTCGACCCACTGGTCAGACAGAACCGGGACCAAAGGTCACACAGATGTCAACGAGCAGAGGCTCAAACACTCACAGGTCAGTCAGAGGTCACAGTCAGGCCGCATGGTGTGTGTGGGTGTGTGTGGGTCATGCATCCATCCATCCATTCATCCACCCATCCATCCATTTATCAATCCATCAATCCATCCATCCATCCACCATCCATCCATCCATTTATCAATCCATCAATCCATCCATCCATCCAGCCATCCATCCATTTATCCAGGCATCCATCCATCCATTCATTCATCCATCCATCCCTTCATCCATCCATTCATCCACCCATCCATCCATTCATCCATCCACCCATCCATCCATTTATCCAGGCATCCATCCATCCATCCCTTCATCCATCCATTCATCCACCCATCCATCCATTTATCAATCCATCAATCCATCCATCCATCCACCCATCCATTCATCCATCCATTCATCCATCCACCCATCCATTCATCCATCCATTCATCCACCCATCCATCCATTTATCAATCCATCAATCCATCCATCCATCCAGCCATCCATCCATTTATCCATCCAGCCATTCATCCATCCATCCACCCATCCATCCATCCATCAATCCATTCATTCATCCATTTATCCATTCATCCATTCATCCATCCATTCATCCACCCATCCATCCATTTATCAATCCATCAATCCATCCATCCATCCAGCCATCCATCCATTTATCCACCCATCCATCCATCCATCCTTCCATCCACCTATCCGTTGCCAGGTCGTGGGGTCAGCAGTCTCCACGGCCTCCACCCAAATCACACTGCACCCGTACACCCCCCCCCCCCCCCCATGAACCTTCCTGCGGGTGGTGAGTCCACTGGAGGGCGCCAACCGTCCTGACTGGGATTGGCTCTAACCCAGGAGGTCAAACCTGGGGTTCCACCCCCCGTACAGCGACGTGGGCTCTGGGCCAGACGTGGGCTCTGGGCCAAAGGGCCACTCATAGAAACTCCTGTTCTACAGAGAGACCAGAAGAGGGAGCTCTTGGAACTGATGCCGATGTGGTAATTCAATCAAACCATAGCACCACCCAGAGGCTGTACTGCATCACAACACCTCCATCAGTGGACAGTGAGGCCGTCAGACATTAGAGAAGACAGTTCTGTCCACAAGGTGGCGCTGACGTCCCAACTGTGACGCCGCCACTTCCGCTCTTTCTGCGTACGTACCGGCTGTAACCACAGCCTGCTGCGTCTGTGTGTGTGACGGCGGCGGCGGCGTGCGGGGGGGCGGGGGGCTCTGACTGTGTTGCTGCTTCAGAAATGGGCTGTCCAGGCGACCTGGTGGTCAGGGTCACGTGAAGGAAAACACACACATGAATGAGCACAAGCAACACGGAAGCAGAGAAGAAGACGACAAACGGAGGTGGGAGGCAGAGAGGATGATGGGAAGGACGGGCAAATCAAAGAGAACCATGAAACAAAGAGGGAGGGAAAAAAGTAAGAGGAGAAGTTAGTGTGGACAGCCTGCAGTTCTGCACACAAAACACCAGGTGGCGTCTGACTGATCCTCAGGAGATCACAGAAAACTCCTCCAAAATAAAGGTGGTGAAGCCGAGGAGAAGCTAGTGTGAGGGTGAGGAGGAGGAGGAGGAGGAGGGGGAGGAGGAGGTCACTGCTCCTCCTCCTCCTCCTCCCCTGAACCCCGACCCACTGACAGTCACGGACTTAGTCCTGGGTTTTTTACCGGCCCTGTGGACAGAGACGGGCGACGTGTCCACACTGACGGTCAGCGCTCGCTCCTTCTGCTTGAAGAACTCTCGAGGGTTCCCCGAGCGCTGGGCGATGATGGCCTTGGCTTCCTGGACCAATGAGGAGCAGAGAAACAACCACAGCTTTGCTTTGTGCTGCTTCAGAGTCATGTCACATTCACTTATTAACCCCTGTGGTGGTATTCTACATTGCCTCCAGGGGGAGCTGTAACTGCACTGTTGTGCAGCACTGGGCTCATATTGGCAAAAATAAAATTAAAAAATGAATCTTTAACAATCAGAAAATCAACAATGATCTACAGAGTGTGTGTGTGTGTGTGTGTGTGTGTGTGTTTGCAGGTGGTGTTCACACTCACCTCCACCTCTGACTCCTTCTTCTCCACACCCTGATCTTCCAGACTTGGCTCCGTCACCTGAACACAACAGGAAATTAAAGACACTGACCAGCAGGTGGCAACAGAGTCTGATTACATTTACCGAGGTCGACCCTGGTGTGTGTGTGTGTGTCACCAGGTCCTCATTGTCTGACTCGATATATCAGTCACTGTGACTTTTCTAACGGATCAGGAATTCTTCTGTTCCGTCACTTCTTCAGCCTCTGGTCACCAAAGGGTTAAACCGAACCCACAGGGACCATGAGAGCTCTGCTGGTCTACGGAATCTGTCAGGGTGGGATTATAATCTGGTTCTGACAGGATACTGGGAAGGATGAGTCAGTGATTTTAGTTCAGACCAAAGTCCGTGGAGAAAAGGAGAGATTATTTCCGTGTGATCTTTGAAGACAGTCCAACACTTACTAACGTCATCTGGTTCTTCGACTGCTCCGTGGCCTCTTCCTCCTCCTGAAGCTTCTTCCTGTTTCTCACACACACAGACGGTATGATATTCAGGAAACAGTTCAACCAACACTGGGAACATGAAGAAACTCCTATTTTGGGGACGTCTTGACTCTGGCGCCACCTGGTGACCTGAAGTGGTTCTCTGACCTGTGCTCCTCGATCTGACGCTCCCTCTCTCTGTATCTCTTCTCTCGGTTCTCCTGCTCCTGCCTCTCCAGCTCCATTCGCTCCTCCTCGTAGCGCTGGCGCTCCTCAGCTGCTTTCTTTCGCTCCTCCTCCTTCCTCAGCTCCTCCTCTTTCTGGAAAATCACACAGCACACAGAACTGACCCAAACCTTCGGGCTCCGGCTCTGAGCCAACGCTGAACGCTAACAGACCAATCACCACTGTCCCCGTGTCCCCGTGTCCCCGTGTCCCCGTGTCCACGCCTACCTTGGCCTGTTCCCAGAATTCCTCTCTGTTGATCTTCTTCATCTCCACCTCTGCATTCGTCTTCTGGTAAACGGTTCCCTGCAGGAACGAACCGCGACAAGAACCAACTTTAGGATCGTCCTGTGTGTGTGTGTGTGTGTGTGTGTGTGTGTGTGTGTGTGTCCTCACCACGTCTCCATGCTCTTCCTCCCTTGTTTTCAGCCGACTCAGGACTGGACTGGCCACAGCTGCCGTCCCATTGGTCAGCCTCTGTCCCACAGCGGAAGGTTCGATGTCGTCCACGCTGCTGGCGTTGACGATCACCTCCACGCCCTGACGACACACACAGACGAGCGTCATTATCTCTGTCTGTGTGTGTGTGTGTGTGTGTGTGTGTGTGTGTGTGTGTTAAAACCCTCCATAACAAACTGTTTCCTGTTTAAAATGATGATGTCAGAGGAAGTTGACCTGGAAGAATTCTGCGATGGTGGCCACGTGGCTGGCGCAGGCACATTTCCTGGCATCTGGCACGTCATCCCCCACCTGAGGACGACAGACAGACGGACAGACGGACACGTTCAAAAAGGATCCCTCCAGTCCACTAGGTGTCACTGCAGTGTCCTCCTCTGACAAACAGCTGAATTAAAAACGTGCTGTGATCCTGAACCACTGACACTCACTCTGACGGTGGGTGTGTGTGTGTGTGTGTGTAAGGATCAGGCTCCGCCCCCTCCTCTGCCCCCCCCACCCCCCTCACCCAGTTGATGAGGATGTATCGCGGCAGAGCGGCGCTGGGTTCTTTGATGCTGCAGAAACCGTACATCACTCTGCTGCTGTCGAAGGTCAATGTGATCTCAGGCAGACCCCCCCCTGAAGGAAAAGGCACAGGGGTCAGGACAGGGGTCAGGACAGGGGTCAGGACAGGGGTCAGGACACGTGGCCGCGGCACAACAGCTTCCTAATATTGTTATAACATAAACTTATCACATCATAACATGAAGGTTATCATGTTATTATGTGACACTGACCCCCCCCACTGACCCCCCCACTGACTTAACCCCACTTAAGGTCAAAGGGCAAACTCGGCCACGTGGAGAGGACTTACCTCCAGACGCTGCCAGGGTCAGAGCATCACTGTCCTCCTCGTACGTGAACAAGGCCCTGGAGGAGAGAAGAAGAACTGCATCAACGACTGACACCAACGACTGACACCAACGACTGACACCAACGACTGACACATCTCTTCAGGTTTATCTTATTGTCATGAACAGCGCCACACGGTGGTTATTTGAGTTATTACATGTCTCTCAGACCCTGATGTTTGATGAAATTGAAGAAAAGGTTTCCTCTGATCTAAACAGACACACACACACACACACACATACACACACCGCCCCACAGGGAGGGTCGTCATGGCAACCAGCAGCATCCCCCACTGTTAACTGAACAACAGCCGTTTGTGACCTGAGGGAGAAGAGGCGGAGCTAAACACCGTCCTCACTGTCTCTGCCCCACCAACAAACAAACAAACAAACAAAAAGAATAAACAAGTGATGAATTCACCAGCACTGACCAGAGGGGGCGCCGCAGCTCTGAAAAAGATTCTGGGGATAAAACTTGGAGTCAGATTTTTGTGATGTAACAGAAACAAGAGATTTTCTAAAAATAGACCTGCAGCAGGAACCGCAGCACAGGTGGGGGAGGAGGGGGAGGAG